AATGTCAGGACAGATGTGGACTAAGTGCAAGAGGACCTCTTGAAACGGAACAACTGCCATAGGACAGCTATAAGGCAATGGTCAAGGCACCAGTGTGATCCCTAAATTTTTAAGTTATTCTTTCAAGACTGTATCAGCATGTGATGGGTTAATTTTCATATCGAGCATTTCACAAAGATCATGAGCCACATAAAACCACTTTAGTGTTTGTGAAAACATTTCAGTCTGAGACCTAAAATTGTTGTTATAGATAATCAAAAAAACCTTCAAAAAATCTACACAATATAGTGTGTTCTATTTTCTTAATACTGTTTCAACAATTTCTGCCCAATTCTGCTAAAGAAAACCTCTCTCAATTAAATCAGCGTGAAACAGGAATAACATCAACAAATACAATAAACTAACACCCCTCTACTATGTGAGAGTAAGATCCCTAGAATGAATAAAAACTAAACTTCAAAGCAAAAAGACTGGGGCAGGGTGGGGGGCAAACTCATTAAAGCAGCACAGAAATTACAGAAACAAAGACCTTCTGGCTAGACTTAATATGGAACTGCAACTCTGGTCATCTTTGATGGCCATCAGCCTGTGCATTTCTAATTCTGGAGATCCCCCTCTCATCTATTTTAAATTATTTAATTTCTCTTATTGTGGACTGCAGTCAATACCCTGAAACTAGACTGGATGTGGCAACATCCTAATGTCCTCTGAGTCTAAACTCAGCAAAGCTAATGGTACTCACACAAGTTGCTCAACTAGAATCTGGAATAGACAGGCATATTCACTTAACAGGGTTCGTGTGATCTCCCAGTAATCTTCTAAGATTATAGAATGCATTTTCCACTGAGGCTTCTACAAAGACTACAGAAATGCACTGGTTAAAAACTCTACAAAAATACAATGCATACCTTCAAAAGGAAATTCAGTCTAATTTAATCATAAATTGTATCTAACATTCCCCCATGCATTCTCCTACATGAGAAAATACCTAGGAACTCTTTATTTTAAGTAAATGGGCAACTGTAAGCCATGTAAAATTTTAAGTAAATTGTGCAATTGACACTATGGGCTGGAAGTTATTTTCATGAGATACCATCCTGTTTTAACAGCACGTTAATTTATCTGCTTAATATTTTACAATGGCCTAAAAATAAGTATGCAAGTTGATCATGGTCTGAATTTGCTGTTTCATTTTGGTTTTAATTATAACAACATCAGGAGATCTGGCATTTATCCACTGAAATGTGCCTTTCATCAATAAAACATTCTTCCATCAGTAAAACACCTGTAACAATTTAAATCTCTTTAACATCCTAAATCCCACTTAGGCCAAGTGTATTAACACATAGTGACATTCAGAGCATGAGCACTGCCAATGAAGTTAGGTACTTTTATTAAAATACGTTGCTGAATTGGAAGGCCAGCAATTAATATCCTCTATGATATATGAAAACAGTTTCCCAAACGTAGTTTCCCCTGTTCTTTCACCAGACCTGTTACAACTAAAGACAAGTGCAGAATTAAAGTAGTCTCTCCTCTTTCTCCCCACCTGCCCTTTTTTTTTTGCTTTACTATTCATAAACTTAGTCTAAGTGGCAGCATTGTATGCACGAGTGTACACAATCTCATTAAAAAGGTTGTGTTATGTGGGTATTCTTCGAAAAGCTTAACTTTTGCCATTTTAGAAGTTTATATTAACGACTGCATTCCTTTACCAAGCACTACTGGGTTTTTATTTCAGTTAAAAGCACATTCTACTTTTTGTTTTTAAAAATGGAGAAAGCTGCTTTATTTACAGATGTCTGATTTTGGTTCATATCTAAAAACTAGTGGCTTAAATGTCAGTATTTGTTTTCATTCTGCTATTCATTTTCATTTCTTCACATGTCTTTTTAATCAACCATGATCTAATGCACTAAATATAATACATTTCTGAGAATTGGAAATGTGAACTTTATAGGGTTGTTATTCTTTTTATACTGCTACAATAATAAATAATTACTAGTGCCATAAAGTTTAAAATTAATCCCAGAATAAGATTCTGGGTGTCCTGTCATTAAATAGTTTTGGATGTACCAAGTCTGAAATTTTCTTGTGAAATAATCAGATTATAAAGCGAAAGGTAATTTCTGTTCATAATATTTTTTAAAATACCAGAGATGAAGTACTGAAGAGAATGTTAATACCAAAGTTAATAGCATGTAAATACCAAAGGAAAATATGTAGACTCTTAGTAGTGTTCAGAAGAATAAATATACAGTGAAATTTGGATAGCCATGTTGGCTGCTAACTATAATTAAAACATATTTTGCCATTATACTGATTTAGGCATTATACTGATTTAAGATACCTGTCTACCACTGTGAAATTTTAATGTATATTTATGCTATAAGTATACATTATTGATGCCCTTATTTCTGCCTAGAGGTAAACAAAACATGAATTAATGTGAGAGAAATCTTACATGTGATACAGAACCAACAACAAAGGCCCATACTAAAACAGCGATCACACATTTGGATAAAGCATCATAACATCACAATCGCTATTAACTGGTTTTACTCATTTTTTATTTATTATAATTTCTTTCTTTTTTCTTCAAGTAAAAAATATTTGTTCACATAAACTTAACATGGACCTTGCACTACATGTCCCAGTTGTCACAGCTCCCTCAGAAACGATACATTAGACTCTTTGCAGTGCTAATTCACCAGGACAGTGGTGCAGAGTATGCTTAGCTGATTACAGCTCCTAGAGGCTCAAAGACGGCATTGCCATTATACAAACCCAGAGCATGATGCCTGACTCCCTGACAGGATAGCTAAACAATAGTAATTTTATTCTGTTTCTCTACATCAAAGGCATCTGCAGTTCTGTTGGGTCTGTTTTGCTGCCTTGTGTGGACCACAACTCTATACTACCAGTAAATTTGTTTAGCAAACAGATAAAAGCACATAAAAAACAGATTTCTGCCTTTCCACAGTGCAATATTCTATTGCAGTATAACACACAGTAGCCAAATGAACCCTCTGTGGTTATTACCCACCTAATGTTGTAAAAATATTACTATGACATTTCGTCTGGTCGACCATCTTAAAGGTTAATTCTGTTTCCTATTTGAGATTTTCCTCTAGGTGAGCCATTCCGTGCACTTTCTATTTACTGATTCCAAACAACCCCCAAACTGTTTCATTGCTCACTCTCACTGTTAAGAACATATTGACTGGCTGCCTGCTCTGCTGTTTAATTCATTTATGCTGAGAGTCAGGCATGAAGACAGAATTTTAAATGTGACATTTGCAGGCTGTTGGGTCATTTAAAGCTCTGACAACACCAGGGAGTTCCTGACATACAAACTGGTCCTGATTTCCAATCTTCCATGTTCTGAACACATCAGAGATTCTTCCCGGAGGTGTAGATTCCAGCCAAAAGTTTTAAATCCCTTGTGTTTACATCTCGCAGAAACGACTTGTACACTTTAAAATTTTAAAATAAAGCTTATGTTTCCTTTAAGGTAAAACCAGCACTGCCTGCAGCATGTGACTCAACTGCTTAAAAACTCTGATTGACAAAGGTATTCAGAAAGATCCGCAGTAATAATTAATACTAATAAGACTTTGTAAGCAACTTTGACGTTTAGTGGACCTTTATTCGTTCCTGTTGATCTTTAAGCAATCAAGAAAAGCTCAGCCTGAAACCACAGCTTTATCTAACATTGTCTATCTGGCTTATCACTACCTTGACTTACACCAAATTTCAGGTTGGAAGTTTTCTTTATTTCAAGGCAGTGAATGGACTGTACCATTTTGCCTCCCGTGATGAACTGGCATTATCTTTCCTAGCTTTCAGGTCAATTTTTCAGAGTATACCTCGTTACGTGAAAGATTCTATACTGCCAAGGTACCATTAGGAAAACAGTAACCTGACCTATTCAGTCATGACTTAGGAAAACTATAGTTACCTGTCTCTGAAACAGGACTCACATATACCAAGTTAAAAATAAGTGTTTTTTTGAGAAAATTCCAAATGACTGCAACAGAGTAGGTCTTTTTGCTTTCTTTAAAGCATCATCAAGAAGGGAGATGCTAAGTCTCAATACGCAATGTTTTACAGTGTATAACAAGCTTTATGTATGTTATTTGGCATGAGTTTCCACAAAATAGGCAGAGACCCCTGTGGCTAACAGCGAAGAATGTGAAGACATGTGAATGCAGACTGGGCATCTAATCTACCAGCAGGACGGGTTGAGAACCAGACCCTGAACTTTGACAAAAGAGCAGGAAGGGAGTACAGAATCTTCTGCACAGAAAAGATTTCTTCCTTCTCCTTGCTATAAATTGGTAGGGAAGGGGGGGGGGGAAGACATGCTATAATAAAAACTGTAGCCTTCTATTCAATCCCAGCTCAGATGTCCACATCATCCCTCATTTATTTACTTAAATCAATAGAAGAATATTGATTTTAAATAAAGACACAGTTAGAAGGCATAATCTGGGCAAAATCTCAATCTCTGTTTTTATTGTGCAAACCAAAAAGCAAACAAAAAACCCCCATGCAAAGCAGAAAGTATGACAACACCAGTATAGGTAGAAATAGTGCTAATCCAGAACTGTCTTAGGAAGGGAGATTGTGTTTCCTACTCAACTTACCATGACAATTATTCCACAATAATGATTCCACACTTCAGCTGCTTTTTCAGGAAGGGGAATATGATTTAGGTCAAGATGCAAATTCGAAGAAATTAATGGATTTTTTTCTTTTATATCAGTAGACAAAAAAATTTTAACAGCACCTCTGAAGTGTTAACTGTCATACAGTAAGCATCTTTTCATTGCCAGAGTAAGACTTTTATCATTTAACAGTTCTAATCTGAACAAGAGTATGTTGTTTTTACATACTTCCAACATGGGGATATTGATTCTGTGTGACCTAGGAAAGCAGTTTAAATATTACAGATGTTGTTTATTCTTAAAGGAAATATTTAAAATATAAAGACATACCTGGTGTATGATCTGAGCTACAGGAAGTTGTTCTGCATATTTTAGTGGTTCTGTTGCCAACTCATCCTTTGGAAGGCTGGAAAGAAATTAAGTTAAGATTTATCAAAGGTAGTACAATGTTTACCAAGTTAAATTACTGAAATTTAAATTTCAGCTACATTACTTAAAAAAGTATGGTATCTGGGAGATTATTTTGGTTAAGATGAAGAAAAAGTGTACTTTAACACCTTAACTGAATATATTTCTTACAAAGTTGAGTGAAAGAATAAATTTATAGTAAACAGAAATTTATGTAACATTGTGGATTCTTCCCTGACCAATGCACATAAAACAGAAATTTAGCTGGACAACCCTAAAAAAAACCCTTTAAATGTAGTTCTTGGTGAAGAAATTGCTGGTGAAAACTGAATTGAAATCCCCGCAGGAAAAAAGGCTTATGTGTTTACAGAGCAGATTCAGCATGAGTAACAATACAAGATTTTTCAGCCAATCCTGCCCATTTCAAAAGGCAAGACGGGTTATTCACAGCTACCCATTTTTTACTGCAAGTACACATCAGTGTTCAGAGATGGTAGAAGTTCAACACCACAAATATTCGTGCATTTGACAGGACAGTAGTGTGTACTACTGGTTTCAAAAAAGCCAAAGAGCTAGCATGAACAAAAAGAGTAGAATACTTCACAAGGAAAACACATCATATCCCTCTAAACTTCGAATAAACTGTAGTTGAAACCCAAAATTCAGAATCCATAAGCAGTCTCTTAAAAGAATACTGAAACGATAGTAAATTAATATTAAAGCATATTTTAAACCCTTCAACCATACTGCTTTTATCTACTGGAACTGCAGTTTTTAATCAACCATTCCTCAATCTTTCTGAAGAGTTCTAATATAGGAAGTAATATGACAAGAAATGAACGGGGGGAAAAAATATAACTACAAAAACAAGGTCTCTCTCGAAAGTTAAAGCAGAATTACTTCAGACAAAAAACTATGGCCAAGACATTATTTTCCAGGTTCAAATTACTACCTTATACCAGTTCTAAGTTAAAAATGATACATGCTTGCTGGCTTAATTTACCTACAGATCGGCTGCTGGGTAAGAGCCAGAAGCTGCAGGCCTGATCTCTGCACTGGGAGTCAACAGACTATGGTAAAAGAGAGGATAATAAATGCACATCTCTTCCCTTGTCCCTTTCTGACTTTCTGTGGTGGTTTGAAATGCTTTTAAGCTCCAAATAGAGCCTGAATACCCAGAAAATTTGTAATGAAGAGTATGATGAAGTATAAAAGTGTTACCGTATAAGAAATTTAAAAGCAGAGAACAAAAGGAACGTGGTAATATTTCAAAGATCACAGCAACAGCCTGTCCAGAACCATTTGATGTGCTTAAGAAAAATTCAGTAAGCAAGCTCAGAACTACTGAAACTTGTCTACTGAAAGAGCTCATTTACTTATATGTTTTTTAGAGTTTTGATGAAGAGAACAATGATGAATTTGTACTCGCAACATGAAATATATTGCTATTATAGTCCAATACAAACATCAGAGCTTAGAGTGTGCTCAACAACTCTACTACACTGTGCAGAAGGAACCTTTCCACTCCTTTCCTTTCTAATTTCTATCATTTGTGGAGTCCTGACTGGCAAACATACCACTATTTAGCTATCCACAGTCAGTGTGAATTTGAGATGACTTCTGTTCTACTTGGAGCCTGTCAGCTGACACATCACCTTGATTTATGGATACCAGCTACATAAACCCATTTCTTAGCTACAGTTCTAGATAGGAAACCCCTGTACACAGAACAAAATAGTCATCAAAATCCTGAACACTTGTCTCTACAGTCTTTACAGGGATACTGCAAATCTGGAAGAAAAAACCCCAGTATTTCAAATCCCCAAATTAAATACTTGAAGCTGCAAGTCTGAGCTAAAATTACTATAAATGGAATGTTGGGGTGGGGCGGGGGGGGAAGGCTTGTCTGTTCTATCAAGGACTTTGTACATTTGGCAATGTTTTCTGTCTAGACAGAGTCAGCATTCCCTTGCATAGTCAAACAGCCTTCTTGTCAACTGCAGAAAAAGAAGACCTTTCTTCAAATGTCAAAGGATTAAAAAAGATACAGAAAAATTATCATGATAGTTTTGAGCCTTAGGAAGCCTTACTACAAAAATAGGGAGGGGAGAATTGTATAAACATGTATTTTAAAGCAATTAGGTTTAAATTGAAATTAGGCTAATAGGAGCCTTTCAACATCAAGAAAGATCATTTTTTAGCTTTTTCTAATTTACTTTCTGAAAAAAAATCAATTGAACTACACTACATTTTTTATATATAGAAATTAAAGATTATGTATATTGATAGATACAGGCTAGGTAGGTGTGCTTTATAATATCCATACATGTGTCTATGTCTATACACACCCAACTATAATATGTAAAAATGCACGCACAAGGGTATTTTGGAAGGAAAATTCTGAACTGTTCTCTCAAAATTTTTGCTTAAGTGCCATGAATGTCTTGTGTATGTACTCAGTGATGTACTAGCTGTCAAGTCTACAAAACAGTTTTGATTCTTCTCTCATACAGATAAGCCCCTCAACTGGATGAACATGTATCTCAATCTTTTATATGAAACTACATAAATTAAAGCATGGAAGCTCAAAACTCTTGACAAAAAAGCTGTATGAAATATTGCCCAATTATATCCTCTACCTGGAGCAAGTCTTTAACTTGAGCTAGCATGTATCAATAAACTTTGAGCATTTGAGATTACTAAATAAAGTGTAAGAATAACTCACGAGTAAATGATCTTTGTAAATTTGATAATAATAGTGTAGTCTTCATTATTATGATACTGCAGTGCTACCATCTAAAGCCATTTGCATGACATTTTGTTGAGTGAAAGAAGATACCACCTTCTCCTAGTACCATACACTCAGATCCATCTAACAAAAATAAATTGTGAGAAGGATCTGCAGATTATTGAGCCAACCTAAAACATCAACAAGTTCTTACTGACCATGACTGATTTTTAACATTTTTTGTGGCCTAAATTCATAAGCACATATATGGCTTCACAAAGGTTTTCCTGAACACTTTGTTCCCAGCTCTTTTCTCTTCTTTGATCAACTATCAAAATATTTAAACTAATTTTTCTAGGGTTATTTTCATCTGCTTCTACTCATGGTTCTGACCAATGCTCAGATCTGTACACTTATTATATTCACGGTTCATAGTACCTTACACATTGGAAAATTAAAAGCATCTAATACTAGTGATGTTCTTTTTAGCCAAAAATTTTAGCTAGGAATAACCCCTAGAAGTTATGTTGTATTTTAAGCAAATAAAAAGTGAAAATTTTGTGAGAAAACGACATTTTGCTGATTTAGCTGTCTAGTTTTCCTATCAAGTGATGATACCTGTGACAGTAATTGAACTTAATGACAGTGGTACCTTCATACAGTCAGTACATCTTACATAAAGTTGGTTTGGAAAATGCTTCCCAGTGTTTCAAAGTGTCCAGCATGCTAAGTTTTACCGGTGTAACAATGTCAAGTTAACCATACCACTTTCAGTACTCATTTTAACAGCTATAAGCAATATATTCTCTGAAGAGAATGATATTACTATGAAGGCTCCATAGAACTCATTTTCATTTCTCAAGAGCAAGCACCAGTTTACTGGTCTAAACATTTGTATAACAGGTATAAGGCAGCTTACTCTAAATTTCTTTTTGCTTCTTTTCTTACCAATAAAACCTGTTTTGCAATCATTCCTTCTAAAAAACTGGATGATGCAACAAGAAATTGCTATCCTATAGGCAGCATAGACGATGAAATACTATATACAAAAGGCTTCCATGAGACAGCATCCATCCTGAAAGCTCCAAGAACAGGAGTAAAGTCAAGACTTGTCTGTCCCGAAAAAAGGCCAGGAACAGCTACTGGAGCCTAAAATCCCCTGTATGTGGGCACAGAGGCTCTATTCTACATCATGCTTTAAATAACAAAAGACACCTCACTGCCAGTAAGAGCAGGCAATGTGATGCAGCTCACAACTACATGGCTGAATTCTCTCCCCCAAAGTGGAGAATGCATTCAAAACTAGCTACTCTGGACCCATGTTATGCCCTGAACCATGTGCAAGCGTTGTCCAGGACAGCGCTAGGTGGCATGAGCCAAAAGAGTATTGGGCACCATGCTACAATTAAACATCACATGTGATCACAATACAGTACATGAGTCTGTCTAATTCACAAGCACAGAAGATGCATCATATTTTGTCTTTAAGAAAATGACATTTTTTAGCTTGGTCAGTTTTGCAGATGGATCAAACAAAAGCCACAATCAGGGCAGTCAGTACCAAGGAGAAAGAAACTTGCTGCAAAGCTGCTCCTTCATTTTACACTAGCCCTAAGATTAGCAGCCCACTAACACTGGGCCTCCTAAACTAGCAGAATTACCTGTAAAAGGCAATCCTCTAAGAAGCATAAGGGATAGGAAGGCCATGACTAGAGAGAAGAAGGTCAACACAGGAGAGGATGTTCTACTTCCTCCTCTTTTGCAGGGTGAAGGAAGAAAACAGGTCATGAGAAAGATCATCTCCATTACAATCATCCTGACCTTGCCTCTCCCTTTCACAGAAGGACACAAGTAAATTGGTTACTACTCTCCTTCCAGAGACAATTTCCAGATGCCTGGGGTGACATTTACTTTTGCTCAAAACCAGATCTGTCAGGAAAAAGAATAAATACAAAAAAATTTCAGTTGATAGAATTTGTGCTGAAATCACGTGCAGCAATTTGAGGCTGTATTTTCACAAAATTAGTTGGCCTCGCTGTTTAGTTCATTTATATTTAACACAACTTTTATAAAATTAAGGGCTAATTTGTTATAATAACTAATTTTTTGTATGTTTATTTCAAAACAATTCCATTACAAAAACAAAAGCAGTTTTTCATTAATTCGTTTTCCAGTAAGAAATGGTCCTTTCTGTCTCAATTGAGCATGACAGCAGAGTGCTGCCAACAGTGCCAAAGCAAGCTAACACAGTGGCATATCAGCATATACAG